AGGGTGCTCGCTGGAGGAAGCCCCTGCAGCTGCCCCGCCGTCCAGCCAAGGGCCTGGGTCTCCGGTGCCGTGGACCACCCCGCTGGCCTGGCTGGAGAGGAGCGTGGGCACTTCGGCCCTGCTGGAGTCCTGGAGGCAGAGCCTGTCGCTGCCCGCCCTGCAGCAGGACGCCGGCACCAGCGTCACCCCGGTCTCGGCCGCCTCCGCGGGCACCTGCATGACCCCGCGGGCCCTGCTGGAGCGCGGCACCAACACCTCCGGGGCTGGGCCCCGCGGCGCCAAGGACAGCGCGGCTGAGACCGACTCTCTGCTCTGGCAGTAAGTGCTAGCCCCTGGGTTGGGGATCGAGCCACATCCACCTTCCTGGGGCTCCCTCAGCTCGGGCATTTCTTCCTTCCCCCGTAGCTGTTTCCGAGAGCAGCTGAGCTCGCTGTCCCGGTCGGAGCTGGAGGGGCGGCTGGAGAGCACCCTCATCATCGTGGAGGTCCTCTCGTACCAGCTGCAGGGCTGGCAGCAGAGGCAGGGGGGGGACCCAGCTGCGGGGCTGGCAGCAGAGGCAGGGGTCGGTGCCTGGCGTGGGGCCGGCCGAGCAGCGAGACGCACCCACGCAGACCGACCTCGCCCACCCCGGAGTGGTAAGAGGCCCTGCCCTGGCTACCGGTGCTTGCCCCCGGGTCTCCTGCCCGTCCAAGCACTGGGCTTCGCACCCGCGGCGTGCCCCGGCACCTCCCCCAGAGTCTGGGTCTCCCTGGCCAGAGCGGCCGTGATGGGAGGCTGCGTTTGGGCTGCAGAGCCAGTGGCGCGCTGTCTTCGCAGCAAGCCGGGTGGAAGTAACGCGGGCTGGCAGAGCTGCTGGGGCCCCGGGCCCGCTAATCACATCACGCGCCTGGCTGGGCGCGCGGGGTCAGCGCTGTCCTGGTTACCCTTGTCTGGCCGCACGTGCGCTGCAAGGGGGGAGCACCGCGAGCGGGTGGGGCACTCCTGCAGGGCCGTGCCCGGGGCAAAGTGCCCAGCTGTGCAGGGAGGTGCCCCCTGCCCCTTCCCCGCCAGGCAGCAGCGCTGACGGGGGTGGCATGTCTTCCAGGAGGAGCGGTTTTATCATGACCTGTATCTGGAGTCCCGAGAGCGAGTCCAGACCCTGCAGCGGCAGCGGGAGAGCGAACGGGCCCTGTGGCAGGCCGTCCAGCAGGCCACAGGGGAGATGGTACGTCTCGGGGGGAGGGGGGCAATTGCTGTGGGCAGCGGGGAGCGCGTCAGGGCCTGTTGCCTGTGCCATCTGCACCTAGCGCTTGCTGAACACCCGGGGCCTCCTACCCAGGCTCCTCCAGCACCAGCGTGGGGCTGCCTGGCTCCAGGGAAGGGCGTTGTAGCTCTGGGCAGAAGACCCCCTTTCTGCGGGTCTTCTCTGCACACACCAGGAACCTCTGCAGCAGGTGCCGCACCTCTGGCCGGTGCCCGCGTCCTAGTAGCAGCCCTGTTGATCTGGTCCCCAAACCTGTGCCTAACGCCTCGGCTTCCTTCCCCAGCGATCCTGGGCCCTGCAGTCGCGGGCTTTCCTGGACTTCGCAGCCACCTCCTTGCAGCATGTGCAGACCGACCGGCAAGCCCTGGGCCAGGAGGTGAGGCCGGGCCGGGTGCGGTGGCACAAGGGCGTTTGCAGCCTCCTGGCTTGGTGCCCGCTCTTGGTTGCTCGCCAGAGTTGCAATGAGTGGGGCGCCCCGGAGCCTTGAAACCTGCAGTAGCCGAGCCCAGGCCCCAGACCGGGGTCTTCCCTCGTTGCCCCCCAGAGGCTGGATCCCCGGGGCTCTGGGCTGAGCTGGGTTCTCTGGGGTCGGGTCCCCCAGGGGCGTGGGGTGCGGTCCCCACCAGAGTCCCAGCCCTGCTCCCACCCCTTGGCCCCGAGCTCCCTGCGGGCTGTCGCCCCCAGCTCCGTTCACGTTCCCCTGCTCCCTCCAGTTCTGCCTCCTGGCTGGTAATTTTCCACTGTCTCCAACGCCTTCCTCGGAGGAGAAGGAAAAACTGGCTTTTCCAGTCCCAGGCACGGCCTTCGCCAGCCCATTGTTGGCCTCGCGCTCGCGCTCCTTGTCACAGCCGGGGCAGGGGCCGCAGCCAGCCCCCGGGCATGCTGCCGTTCCCCCAGAGCCCAGCAGCTGCCCGGATGGCCCCTGTCCACACAGGGCTGCTGGGCCTTGGGGACCGTGTGTAGCCTCTCCAGAGCCCAGGGCTGCTGGGAAGGCTTTGCCATGCCACAGGCACTGCCGCTTCAGAGGAGCTTTGCCTTGCTAGGGTTGTCCCAGGTCCTGAATGGCAGGGTGTGGGGGTGCACTTGGTCTGGGGTGCCAGCTGGGCCTGGTGGCAGCCCGTGGCAGCGGGTGATAGTTGCGGGGGCTGGCATGGCTGCGGCCAAGGGTGCGCTGCGCCGGGAGCTCCCCTTAGTGCTCTGCGGCCTCTTCTCTCGTAGCGAGAGCAGCTGAGGGCCCTGCTGTCCCGGTGCCGCAGCTCGCTGGACAGGGTGGGGAGCAAGCTGCAGCGCTGCCTGGAGGAGCGGGACGAGGCGCGGCGCCGCCAGGGAGAGGCCCTGCAGGCCAAGGAGGCGGTGAGCGGGTCGGGCAGGGGCAAGGCCTGCGTCCGTGCTGGGGGCCGAGGGTGGAGCAGGACAGGAGTAGCCCCTCTCGCGCCCCAGCCCTGCCAGGGAGCACAGCCGGGCAGCGGGTGGTCCCAGCTCCTGGGGGTGCTTGCTGTCCCTGGAGGCAACCCTACCTCATCCCCTTGCCCACAAGGTCCCTGGCAGTTGGGAAGAAGCTGGGTGACTCCATCCCCTCCAGGTGGGGAGCAGCCCTGAGTGTGTGATGGGGAGGGACTGGGGCGCAACCCCCACAGCGCCTTGGCTGCCTTCCCGGCCATGCCGCAACCTCTCACTGGGCAGCGGCTCTGTGCCCTTCATGGGACAAGGCTGCTTGTGCCCCAGGGACTGGCAAGGGCAGTGCCACGTGCGGCCGCCACTGAAGCCCAGTCCTTCTGCACCTGCCCGGCCCCAGGGAGAAGCAGTCCTGGAGGAGCTCCGCTGCCACGCCGGCGCCCGCATCTGCTGCAGTGAGCAGGGGCTGGCGGCCCAGAGAGAGCTGTGCGCCTTGCTGGAGGGGGCGCGCCAGCAGCAGGTGAGCAGGGGCGGGCTCCCCGCGCATGGGGTGGGACACAGCCTGCGGGACCACAGGCCTTGCTGGAGATGCAGAGCCTCGTGCTGCTGGGCCTGGCCTCTCCTGGCAGCCGGCAGGTCCCTCTGTGCTCCCCAGCACCAACACCAACACCTCTTCCCTTCCTGCAGGCATCCTGGGCCCTGGAGTCAGAGTCATTCCTGGAATTTGCCACCGCCTCTCTCTTCATGCTGCGGGATGACCGGCGAGCCCTGGGCCAGGGGGTGAGGCCGGTTGGGGCACGCTGGGTGGCGAAGGGACTGAGGGGTCAGAGCCTCATGGCCTCCCTGCATCTGTGCCCTGGTGCCAGGTGGCAGCTGTGGGCACTGCTGCGTCGGAGCTGCTCTGGCCAGCCCGGCTGGCTGCTGTAAGGGTAGGGGGTGGGAGTTAGGGGTAGCCAGCCTGGGGACGCACTTGGTCTGGGAGCTCGTCTTGCGACACTTCCCTCCTCCCTCCTAGCAAGAGCAACTGAGGGCCCTGCTGTCCCGGGGCCGGAGCTCTCTGGAGGGGGTGGCGAGCAAGCTGCAGTGCTGCCTGGAGGAGCGGGACAAGGCACGGTGCCGTGAGGAAGAGGCCCTGCAGGCCACGACGGCGGTGAGTGGGTCAGGCCCGTGGGAGTGCCCCTTGCAGTTGTGGCTTCAGCCCAGCTGCAGCCCGACTGGGGGCTTCGCCTCCTGCCCGAGCAGCCAGGCTGGCACAGTGCCAGGCCACGGTGCGGCAGCGAGGCAGTGTCACCCCTGCCAGGGCTGCCGTGGATCTGCTGCTCCAAGCCGGCGGGGAGCTGGGGGAGCAGCTGGACAAGGGGCCGGCTGTGGTCCGCCCAGGTGAGCATCCGGCTGCGCTCTGCACAGGTGTCCAGCAGGCTGGAGGAGGTGACGGGGCAGCGGGAGGCGGCGCTGGCCGCGCTGCAGGACTCGGTCGCTCAGGTGGAGCAGCTCACAACAGCCAACTCGCGTCTGGGCACAGGTGCGTTGCCCACCGGCAGCGTGGGGCTCGCCGGCCGGCTGGGGCTGCTCACACAAGTGTGTGTGGGGCCCAGTGCTCCTCTGTGCTCTGGCCAGGGGAGGCTAAAGGCCTTTTGCAGTGGTCGCCTGGCCTCGGGGTGGGTGGGCTCTGCCCTCCTAGGGCCCAGCAGCCAGGTGCTGCCAGGGGGGCGGGTGAAGGTGCTGGCTGCATGGGGCAAGGTGCCTGGAGCCCAGTGCGTGCCACCTGACCCCGCACTGTGCCCTAGAGCTGAGTGCCACGGTGCGGGAGCTGGCTGTGGTCGAGGTCGAGCGGGACCAGCTGCAGGAGGAAAACGCCAGTTATGCCCAGGAGACGGCGCGGTGAGTGCCGGGTGGGCCGCGGGGAGGGAGCAGGAGCTCGGCATGGCTGCCTGAGTGTCCCGGGGTCTTGCTGCGCGTCGTCACCACTTCCTGCCCTGCCGCAGGCTGAGGCAGGAGAAAGAGGCCCTGCAGCAGGAGCGTGACAGGCTGCGCCAGGAGCTGTGGGAGATGACCGAGTGCCACGAGGTGGGGCTGGCACCATGTGCCACTGACTGTGCCCATGACACATGCTGGGGGGAGCATGACTGCCCAGGCTGAGCGCGTGGCCTGCAGGCAGGAGCTGCTGGGTCTCCTGAGTAATGGGATCTGGAGATGTGGCCCCTTCGAAGCCACGAGCCAGGTTGCCACCTCCCAGGCCCAAGGGGGTGTTTTAAACCAGGGACGGGCAATTATTTCGGGCGGAGGGCCGCTTACTGAGTTTTGGCAAGCCATCGAGGGCCGCATGACAGGCAGCCAGGGGCAGATAAATATTAATTTTCTAAATTATTTAGAGGCCTCACGGGCGAGAGAGAATAGAATGGCCCGTGGGCCGCATTTTGCCCACCCCTGTTTTAAACCCTGTGCACTTTCCACGCCCCTTCTGTGCCCGCAGTTCATCGACCAGGAGAACCGCGTGTCCCGCGCCCAGCTGCTGGAGACGGAGCACAAACTGAAGTCCACGCTGGCCACCCTGCGGGAGCGCAGCATGCAGCACGAGGAGCTGCAGGACGCCCACCATGGCCTCAAGTACGGCGGTCTCTGCCTCATGCCCCTGGGCCTCAGCTGCGGGGAAGGCAGGGGAATCTGCGATGGGCTGTGCAGAGTGGCGTGTTGTCACCAGGTCTGGGCAGGCCCTGACATGGGCCACGGGTCCCCCGGCATGTGGTGGTCCTGTGGGCAGCCCTGCCGGGCACATGTGGTCCTTGCTTGTGCAGCTGTTCTGGCTTCAGAGATCCTGCCCCACCAGACCCCGGTGTCTCCCCTGGCCACCGGCACCGCTGACCCTGTCCCTCTCTCTCCCCAGGATGGAGGAGAGCGCCCTGCGCCAGGAGCTGAAGGCCTGCCAGGCGCAGCTCCAGGACCTGCAGCTCAAGAGGGACGAGGTCCTGAAGGCCTCGTTGGAGATCGCCCGGGGCACTGACCAGCTGCTGGGCCTTGCCAGGGCGCTGCGCGCTGCCCCGCAGGAAGAGGTGGGTTGGTGGCACAGGGCAGGGTGGGAGCAGCGCCTGGCCCCCATGGGCTCCACACCTTGTGCCGTGACCTGTCCCCTTGTCGCCCCAGGCTGACAGGACCTTGTCTTGGAGCAGAGCCTGCACCCCCGCCCGCCAGACCCCGCACCGCCTACATACCTCCTTCGTGGGCAGCGTCCTGAAAGCTATGGCAGGGAAAGGTAGAGTGGAGCCACGTCAGCCTGGGGCAGCCTCGGCTTTCTGCTGGCGCTGGGGGTGAGGGAGGGGGCGAGGCAGCATCCTGGCTCTCCGCAACCCCAGCCCGGAGCCCGGGGCCTCCAGTGGCAGCGCTGGCAAGGGTGTGCGGGTTGCGCTTTGCACTCAGGGTTGCTTCCTGCTCCCTGGCACACAGCCACGTCCCTGCTGTGCTGCCGGGAGCTGGGGAGCAGTGCCCGGTGCCCGCTGGGGTGGGTAGGTGCTGCAGACCCGGCCCTTCCGTGCTCTCTGCAGACCCCAATGGTGATGGCATTGGAGTCGGGAGCGCATTTGCCAAGGTTGAGCCAGCAGCTCCTCAGAAGCCAGCAGGTAAAAGCATGTGGCCCCCACGCCCAAGCGCTCCTCCCAAGGCAGCGCCCTCGCCCTGCCCGGCCCCCAGCGCCATGTCCTCCTGCCCCAGGGGCACGGGGGCCTTGCAGGCAGGACGGGCGAAGGTCTCAACACTGCCTGTGCTCGGCGGGCCCTAGCCCGGGGCTGGTGCCAGGTGGCAATGGAGGTGCGGCTCTGTCCCCAGAGGCCGAGGCGAGCCTGCTGGAGCGCGTGCAGGAGCTGAGGGACACCATCGCGGACCTCGTTGCCGCGAGCACCCTGGCACAGGAGGCAGAGCAGGAGAGAGCTCAGGCGCTGCAGGCAGAGATGTGAGTCTGGCTCTGGGCGCCGCTGTCTGCACCCGTGACCTGGCGGCCCATGCCCCCAGCCTGGCTCCACCCTGTCCCCCCCGGGCACAGGTCCCGCCAGCCCCATGCCAGCCCCCCACCTCCCCCTGCAGGGCTCATGCTGGGCTGAGCTGGTTCCTGGCAGTGCAGGGGGTGGCCCTATGGCCGTGGGAGTCAGCTGGAGGTCCCCCCCACCCCCTAAATGGCTGGGGGCAACAAGCCATGAGCACTGCAGCCTGTGAGCAGGGTGTCCCCACCCCGAGCTCAGCCAGGCCTCCCCGCTCCCCCCACCGCAGCGTGGACCTGAAGCAGCAGCTGGAGACCCTGGGGGCCGAGCTGGACGCCCGCGACGCCAGCATCGCCAAGCTGAACAAGGCGCTGAGAGTCAAGTTACAGGTGAGCGGGCGCGAAGTGGGTCAGTGCCAGCCCCGGGGCAGAGCCTATGTGGGACACGGGCCCGGCCGGCTCGCATTGCACTGCACGTGAGAATCTGGGTAACTGGCTTTTTCCGTGCCCCGCAGCTACTCGCTGCTCTGGTTCCAGCCGCTTCCCCCGCAGGGGGGCGTCCCCTGGGGCTCCCTTGCCCGCTGTCCTGGGCTGACACCGCGGTGCTGAGTCACGGAGCCGGGCCTGGACCGGCCTCTGGCCAGCTGCCCGTGCCCGGCTGCCTGGGGCTCCGTGGCATACACGCCAGCCCTGCCCTGGGGTCCCGGCCATCACTGCTCCCTGGCAGAGCTGTTCCTGGCCCCAGCCCACGGCCAGGCAGGTGCTTGCTCCCTCCATCACGTGCCCTGCCTGGGGGGAGCTGCAGCAGCAATGGGGCCCCCAGAGACCAGCCCTGAATGTGGCCCCTCTCGGCAGAGCGAGAAGGAGCTGCAGGACGTGGTGCAGCAGCAGGAGGAGAAGATGTTGCAGCTCATTGACAGGAGTGGCGAGGTCACGGTACGCAGGCTGGGACAGAGGGGATGGCCTGGGTCTGGGTCTGGGTCTGGGCTGGCGGGGTCACGCACAGCCCCCCTGGATGCCACACCTAGTGGGGGCTGAGGCCGGGCCCCCTCGTGCCATTTCCTCCCTGTCTCACCCCCATCTCTCCTGTGGCCAGAGCCTAAAGACGGAGGTTTCTCAGCTGCAGCGGGCACTGCAGCGGGCCGAGACAGAGGCCAAGGTGCTGTGGGAGGAGGTGAGGGGCCAGCAGCCACCTGCGGACACCAGCAACGTCCAGGAGAAGGTCTGGTTGCGGCAGGAGGTGAGGCTGGCACGCGGGCAGGTCCCGGGGGTTGGGGGAAGGGGTGGCCCAGCTGCTGCTCCCCACCAGCGAGGTCTGGCTGGGCCTGGAGCCGTGGCCTGACTCCCGGGAGGCAGCAGGGTCCTTCCCTGGGGAAGGAAGAGGGTGCCAGGGCGAGGGCTGAGCACAGGGTAGTGCGGAGGCTGCTCTCTGGGGCCATGCACAGGGCTGCCCCTCGCTCCCAGCTGGTGCCCGTCTTGCTCTGCAGGTGAACAAGCTGCGGGAGCTGCTCCTGGAGAAGGGGAACGAGATCTCGCTGCTCTCCAGCAAGTACCTAGAGCAGGTAAGGACCCCGCGGCGGCACCCCAGAGCCCCCTGCCCTGCTCCCTGGTGCAGGCCTGCAGCTGCCCTCTCCCTTGCAGAGGCGGATCCTTGAGGGGAGGCTCCATCAGGTGCAGAAGGTGCTGAAGAGCCAGGAGGAGACAGAGGAGAAGGTCAAGGAGGTGAGGCCCTTCCTTGGGCCGGGGAGGGAGCTGCCCTGCCTGTCAGCCTGTCTGAGCTGCTGCAGACCAGTCCCATGGCCTGCCCCTGCCAGCCCGGGATGCTGCAGGTCAACCCTGCTGGCCTCCTGCTGCCTTGGCTGGGCTCTGCCTGGGCTGGGCCCGTGGCTTATGCCAGCTGCACGAGCCCTGAGGCTGCAGCACTTGAACCCCAGCCCAGGGGGAGTTGGCACCACTGACCTGTCCAGCTGCCGTCCCTCATCTGTCCTGCCCTCGGGAATAGGGAGTGATCTGGGACCCTGCCTGGGCCTCTTGCCGGTGGAGGCTGGAGCTGCCCCACGGCCTTGGGCATCAGCCCAGGGGCCCCGAGGGCAGCCGCGCTCCCCTCCTAACCCATCTCCTGCCCCCAGGCATTGTCATCCATTCCTGACGTGGTGGCCACGAGCTCCCAGGAGCTGCAGAACGTGCTCCGGTACCTGGGGCTGAAGCCGGCGGACGGCAGCGGGTGCCCAGCAGCCGTCCTGTAGCTCATCGTGCCCGGCGCTCTCGGCGGCCACCTGCCCTGCGCCCAGCCCAGCCCAGCCCAGCCGGTTACTGGTCCTGCCCGTGTGTTGCGCGCGGTGGAGGTGGAACTGTACAGTGTTGTATCATAAATCTGTTTATTCAATAAAGTGTCATGCCCGGACTTGCTGCCTGGGGGTCATGTGTTAGCCAAGCCGGAGGAGGTCCTGGGTGGGGTGGACGCGTGCTGGTCCCCAGGCCGTCAGCTCCTGCTCTGCCCGCTGCGGCCTGCTGTCCCCGCGGCTCTGGATGCAGCCAGGCTCCCAGGGCCCGTGCCAGTTGCAGCAGGCAGGGCTGGCCTAGCTTCCCCTCCCCGGGGATGGGCTCCTCCCGCTGCCCTAGATTCCCCTCCGCTCCCGGCGTGATCCGCGCAGAGCCGCACGCTCTCCGCGGCGGGGCCTTATCCCTTCCTTGGCCCCTGCACTCGGCGTGGGGGTGGGGGGCATGGCTGGGCATATGGCGGTAGGGGGAGGGGAAGAGGGTGGACAGACGCCTGGCTCCTGCGCTGCCCTCCCCCAGCCCAGCTCCCTCCCCAGCCTGGGCAAGCTGCTTTGGGTCCCTGCCAGGGCCGGAGGCCTCCGGGGAGCGCGGTGCTGGGCTTTGGGGCGGATGTGCCAGCCTGGTTCGCGCCAGCTCCCCGCAGGGAGGGTGTCCCCGTGCCCGCTCCGTGCCAGGGCCGTCTCCCGGGTGCAGAGGGGCCCGGGCACCGGGGGGTGGCCAGCCCAAAGGTCACCTTGAGCCCGCTGCCCCCGCGCCCTCCCGGGGGCTGCAGCCGCCTGCCTCCCCCCTGCTGGACGGGGCGAGTCGCCTCCCGGCAGGGGTGCCCGGCCGGCTCTCCC